CTGGGGGGTTCTGGGAGTTGAAGTCCGCACATCTGAAAGCTACCAAGGTTGAGAAACACTGGTACAGAAGCTCCGTCAGTTACTTGGTAACTGACCAATAGACAGATGACTGAGCAACTTCCCCACGTAACTCAGCACTTTTCAGACGGGCAATGCTTTCCAAACTAGCAACAGAATCTTGTGCAGGTTCCAAACAGACTATTAGAGTTTGCCTGGAAATAGGCCACCATGACAATTTCTAAGAACCATCTCCCTGCCATCCCGAACAAAGCCACACCTTGCTCCCCCTGTGCCTTGTCTCCCGCAGCTATCAAACGCCTCTGTGCCAGGTACCTTTGCACATCAAGAAGACAGCAGTCATGAAAAGAATGCAGGGTAAAGTTCTGCCAACTTTTCCAGTTCATGCCAGATGCACAAATGAAACACAGGGAGCCTTTTCTCCATTGCTCAGCCTCCAGGGCAAGAAAGGCGTTAGCAGTATTTCTCAACCGTGACCATTTTAAGATGTCTGGACTTCAACTCCCAGAATTCCCTAGCCAGCATGGCTATGACCACGGGGTAGGGGAGGCACCCTTTCCCCCTCCCCATATCTGGCCATTTGTAAAAGCCAACATGAAGTCCAGGCATCTTAAAGTTGCTAAGGTTGAAAAACACTGCATTAGAGCAGCGTCTTACATGTGTCTACTCAGAAGTAAAGCCTACCAACTTCAATGATACTTTCTCCACACAGGCATAATCATGAAACTCTAGAAGCCTTCCTTTCTTTGCAGTGGCAAATTTCAGAGTTGAATGTCTTCTGACAAACTATCATAAATGAGGCCACTTGGAAAAGTGAGGGAAGTATGAAGAATAAGGAAAGACTAAAGCGTAATTAAGAGGCAATTCCACCCCCTGCCCCACGTCCAAAGAACAGTTCCATGATTTGCAGCCTGGCATGTGGGGAGACCATGGGGAAAGGAAAAAACCCTTTCCCCCTCCCCATATCTGGCCATTTGTAAAAGCCAAAATGTAGTATTTCCCTGAACTCACAGGTGGGCCCAGATCTGCCTCAATCAATGAGATCTCTGTCTTCTCTCAGACTCTAGCAACTTCTGCTTTCCCCTCTAAAAATATGATTTATTGGCCCCGAGTCCCAACCATCTGCCCAGCAGCCATTTCACCAATGTCTATGCCATTCTACAAAGATAGAACCAGGCTCCTGACAGCAGCTTCCTTATCTCACTAGAGACTGGCAGATGACCAGGTCTTAGTGCTGGAATGATCCTTTCCTGGTTTGTTTTGAAACTTTCCGTGAAGATGAAATGTAGAATTAATTTAGGGCCTATTGTATATATTAGTCATTCAGTCATTACTAAACCCATTTTAACAACTCAGTATTTCTTAAAAGTGGTGATGCCATGGGCCTGAAGCCAGCATGGAAGCCAGCTCTTGGTTAATTGTTTATGAAGTGCTTTTGAAGCCTGATTAGTCCCAATTTCCCAACTGACCAAGAAAGCTACAGTAAGCTAAACATATACTGTAAAGGAGCATCTGCTTGAGAGTGGAAAGGGGACGGTATTCTAAGTTATAAATCAAAGCAATGTTTCAACTGCAGCCATGCTAAGAATTTCCTTGATAACAGGAAGGATTTGCAATCTGAAGTAACACGGGTCGCCTCTGAGGTTGCTCTGTGATAAGAATTCCTTCATCTGGAAAAAAGGGAGAAGTATTAAAATAACTCTGAATGCCAGCCATAGAGTAAACAAAGGAACAGACATGATTTTGGCTGATTCCTGGGCACTAAGAAAATAAACACAGCCATATAGCATTTGGTTGAGCTCAGAGCCACAGCCTTCATCCCGGCGCTATCAGAAATTAATTAAAGCAATTTATACGGGCGCCCATCTCACTGTGACCCTGGGCAGCAAACAGGAAATTAAAACCAAAAACAACAAAAACAACCCAATTAAACAAAATGAAATTTCAACCCCAGTCTGTCAATAAAACCATGGGGCGGAGACCCAAACCATCATTTCATTTTACAATCGGGGAAAAACAACCGTCACAAGCCAATCAACCAGCAGGCACGCCCAGGTCCTTCACACCTTGCAGAAGGCCAACAGAGCTGGGGCTACCGGGCTCTCTGGCGGGGGAAGCGGCTTCCAGAGAGGCGTGGCTCCTGGGCCCCACAGGACGGCATTCCTTAATGGAAGTGACTTGGGGCGTGCCCTCCCTGCTGGTTCTGGCAGGGCGAGCAGAAACAATCGCAGACGGGCAGCCCCACAAACAACCTGGCCTTCAGCCATATGGAAGTCCCGTGTCAAGCAGGCTGGTGGCATTTTTGTGCTTCTGCGGTCTGCAGCAACCTTCTTCAGTGAGCTCTGCTTGCCACTTGCCACTGGTGTAGAGAGGCCTCACCTTTAAAAACAGGCCTCCTCCTTGTTCTTTGGGGATTTTCTTCTTAACTGTAACATGGATTTGCCTGCGAAGGGATCGTGACCCAAACAACCCTAGGTGCAAGGCCCCGCCACTACTTTGGGGGACACTTTATCAAGCAGAAGAGTGATCCAGAGGGGCCTGTGGCTGATGGAGCCCAAATCTCCTCTCGCTGCCCAAGAGGATGACTTTCCCCCTATTCTCCTTTAGCAAGGCCTCCCCTTGCTCATGCCCAATGTCTAAATATGCTGGACCACAACTCCCATGCTTTCCAGCGGGTCCGGACAGGGGAAGCCAGTAGTACTCCAGCATGAAAGTTGGAAAAATGTTCAAAGTTTGGACTGCCTTTCACTCAGTGTGTCCAAGCAGACATCGGGCAACCATCACCCTGAGGTGCCTAGGTGGAAGTCTGGCACAGCTGGACTTCATGGCCTTGGTGGAACCTTCTGATTCTAGGGTTGTGGTCTATGACCTACGAACATACCTGAAGGGCCTAAGGTGGGGAAAGTTGTTTTGGGAGAAGAAAAATGGAAAAGTGGAAATGTGCTGTTCAAAGACTACAGCCCATTTCCTGAGCTACATAAGGGCAGCTCAGATGGATCTGGCTCACAAGGGGCAACCTAGGGGTGAAGTTCTGGACCATCCACAAACTCCCCAGAAGGAGGACTGGCTGGTGGCAATGTTATTAATATGTGGGATTTAAAATGCATAAACAGCTAGCAATCATTAATAAATAAATGCGGTTTTCTACTTTAGGCATCAAAGCATCACTGCAGAGTCTGCCTGGAGCACAGAAACGCAGGGTCTGATTACATAAGCTGGACTGTTTTTTTTCTGAAAAAGAGATGAATAAGAATATCAGAGATACTTACAGTGCAGTATGGCTCGGAGAGTCAGTTTTCTTGAAACACTTTCACAAAAAGCGAAAATGGAAGGAAGGAAGGAAGGAAGGAAGGAAGGAAGGAAGGAAGGAAGGAAGGAAGGAAGGAAAACAAGAAAGAAAAGTAAATATGTGCAACTCTGTCAATTTCTAGACACACATAAATTCCAATAATGTTGTTGGCACAATGCCCAGGTTATGCATTTAGGGTAGGTGTGTTGACCTGGGCTTTTGTTCAAGGTGGCAGGATAATTACCCTATGCCAGCCTTCCGCTCCCTTCCGTGCCCTTCCCTTCCCTACTGTGCTGACGTGGTCCAAAATTTTCAAGGGCTGACTTTAAGACTAACATCTGTGGCTTCAGGTTCCTCTTAGCCCAAGGCCCTGATGAAACGAAGTGGGTGGAAGCCGTTTCACTCTCTGCCACTCCTCCGCACAGACGTAGTGCAGAAATGGAGCAACCACGCCAAGCCAATTATCTACCTGAAAGTGCTGCATTTTTGCAGGGAGGCAGAAGCAATTAGGCAAGTCAACCTCAGGACGAGACGG